GGGGGGGTCAGGATCAGGCGCTTCACGACGAGGACGTCTTCAACGCCAACATCGTCTCGCAGCAACAGCTGGAGGTGGGTCTCTCATGCAGGCACACACACACATCGCAGCACGTTGGTTCCTCGATTTGTCGCACCACCCAGCCGTCCATATGTTTGTGTATATATATGCAGGCGGACCCCTCTCTGTGGTTCCATCCATCGCTGGTGGCGCGGTTCGACCAGACGCCTCCCTACTACCCATGGAAAGTCGCATACCCTCTTCTCACATCGTACGCCAGCCGCCCCTCGCAAATGCACCCACAGGGGCACGGTTAGTAATACTCTCCGCCTGCCTTTTGTTACTTGTGTCTGCAGGTGGATCGTCTTCAACCGCCCGATCTCCCTCTCGGCTGTCCAGAACCTCATGAACACGTAAGCAACCAGCTCCCTCGCACATCACAGAAGAAGCTTCGAGGGGAAACGGACACGATCTCCTCTCTCTGTGTGTGTCAGGACGGTCAACGTGTCGAAGGCGCCCCAGAGCGGGTCATCCTGGCGTGGGTGGTTCGGGCGCGGAGTGAGCCGGAGCGACCTGCCGCAGCAGGCACCATCTGCCGCACACGAGGCGGCCGACACAGGTAGGTAGTGGGGGGAGGGCGCAGCGCAGGTGTGTTTTCGATAGGTCGATCGATGGACCTATAGCATGCTCATGTGTCTGGCTGTCTGTCTGTCGCTTGTGTGTGAATCGCCGTCCATTCAGAAAACTCGTCGCCCTCCGCCCCGTTGATCCCACGAAAAGGTGCGCATGTCTGCCAGCTCACCACGGACACCCACCAACACACATAGACCCCTCCCTCCTCTCTGCCTTCAGCCAAGACAGTCGGCGCTGACCTTGAGATGGGCCCAATGCCGCCCTCCCCCGACACCCCGGTGCTGCAGGCCGACGGGCTGCAGCGAGAGGCGGGGGCCGGCCTCACACCCATACCCCACGCACGGGAGGTCAACGGCAACGGGGGGCCGGCGGGTGGGGCGGGGAGCGTGCTGTGCTGCGCCACGCCCACACCCACCACACAGGGGTCGCCATCCAAGTGCTACCGGAAGTCGCTGAGACCCACGACAGAGCAGCTGGTGAGTGGAGGGAGGGAGGGAGGGAGGGAGGCATGGGTTGGTACGTGTGTGTGTGTATATGTGTGCGTGTGTGTGAGTGTGTGCAGCGTTCGTTGAATTTGAAGCCGGGGCCCAACCCTGTCACCTTCTCCGTCACGTCGTCGCTCCAGGTGGGCAGCGGACGGCCGACAAATGTGTGTGTGTTTGTGTCTGTGTCTGTGTGCGTGTCTGTGTGCGTGTATGGGTGGTGTGATTGCTGGGTGCGTGTGTGCAGGGCACCCAGAGCATCACATCCACCATCTACTTCTGGCCCCCCAACGCCAAGATCGTCGTCTCTGACGTCGATGGAACCATCACCAAGTCACCCACCCACACAACACACCACTCCACACCCAGACACCACACCCATATCTGTCTCTCTCCCTCCCTGCCTGTGTCTGTCAGGTCCGATTTATTGGGTCAGCTGATGCCGATCGTCGGCCGCGACTGGTCGCACCTCGGTGTGGCGTCGCTGTACACGGCCATCCGCAAGAACGGCTACAGGATCGTATACATGTCGGCACGGGCCATCGGGCAGGCGGACCTCACGAGAGACTACCTCTTCGGGCTGTGCCAAAGCGAGATGGACAGGCTGCCCGGTGAGAGAATCAAGGAAGGATGCACAAGGCAAGACAGTCATTGTGTGTGTGTGGGTGGGTTGCCAGATGGCCCGCTGATTCTGAGCCCGGACCGTCTGCTGTCGTCCTTCAGACGGGAGGTCATCGACAGGAAGCCACATGTATGTGATCACGCAAACGACGCACCACAGCATGCCGCACCACCCACCGCCCTACCCCTACATTCCCATGATCCCTCTCTGTCTGCAGGTGTTCAAGATAGCTGCATTGCGCGACATCCGCGGCCTCTTCTCGCAGGAGCACAACCCATTCTACGCCGGATTCGGCAACAGGGAATCGGTCAGGCTCCACCCACACGCCCACCAAGCCACCCGCCCCCAGACAAAGCGCGGGTCTGTGTGTGGTGTGTGTGACATCAGGACTACCGGGCGTACACTTCTGTGGGTGTGCCCGAGGCCAAGGTCTTCATCATCGACACCAAAGGCCTCATCCACCACTGCAACACCACCTACGCCAGAACGTCCGTACTCCCTCACCCCACTCCACAAACACCACACAAACACCATCCCGCCCCACACCCACGCTCTCTCCCCCCCTCTCTCTCTTGTCAGGTATCAAACGATGCGCCAGATAGTGCACGAGATGTTCCCCTCGGTGCGTGGCGGGGAGGAGGACGCCCACGCGGCGGCGGCCGGCGACGACAGAGACAAAGATCAGGGCCAGGAGTCGCCATCTGCAGACGACCAGGTTAACACCACCACAACCACCGAGAGGAGAGGCGGGCGGGGAGGGGGAGGGGGAGGGAGAGGGGCTGTTTCTGTGTCTTATGCGGGGTGGAGCAGAGAGTTCGATCCGGCTGTAGAGCGGAACATGAAGGCCAGGAAGACTCTTGCGTGAGGCAGAGAGACGCTGGCAGTGAGTGGGTGAGTGAGTGACTAGGGAGGGGACTTTGATAGTGCTTTAGCTGCGTATATGGACAGAGCGTCGTGAGTGAAGAAGACACACACCATTAGGCAGGTGGGGTGGTTTTGACAGACATTCGTTGTCGTCTTCTGGCTGCCCCGAGCTTGCCTCATTGCCCCCCTCCCTCCCTCCCTCCCTCCCTCTCCCCTCCCTCTCCCCTCCCTCTCCCCTCCCTCTCCCACACACAAGTAGGCAGGCGCACGTACTCGCGGACAGCTGAGCTGACAGATGCATGCATCCATTTATCTGTGTCTTGGTGTGTGCGTGTGTGTGTGTGTGTGTGTGTGCAGTTCAGCTCGTTTAACTTTTGGCGCGTGCCTGTGGAGCCCCTTGACGACGACATAGAGGAGGCCGCCGGAAGCGAAGAGACACCATAACGATGACCATGGCCACAAACGTACCAGAGAGAGAGATAGACAGACAGATAGACAGACAGACAGACCGACCCCCGTCTTCTGTGCGGGCGGTTTTTCGCCGCTGTCTCTCCGACAGTGTAATGTGTGTTGGTGGGCCTGCGTGGCTTTACGTATCCGTCTGTGTCGGCTGGTGCATGACATGTGAGAGCAGAGCAGATCGGCTTTTTCAGTACAGTGGTGCCTGCCAGTGTGCTGCTTTCTCGCGGCCATCCATCCATCCATGCGTTTTGCGTGGCCCTGTTTTGTGTGAGGGGGCCGTGTGTGTCTACCCGGTGCGTGGATTGCAGCTGCGTCTCGCCTGTCGCGCGTCGCTTCCTGGGGGAGCCAGTGATGTGTTTCCCCCGGGCAGCCTTCGTGCCTGTGGTGAAGCCGTCACCCACCAGGTGGCCGCCAAAGCGATGCGCGAAAGGCGTAGAGGCAGGATGGTGTAGAGGGAGTGTATCGAGTTTTCCTGCATGTGGGTGTTTGGCCTCACTCGTTCATCCTCATGCGTCTGTTGCCGGCAGGTGCCATTGGTGCTTTCGTGTCAGTCGACTCCTTGGCATTTTTGTGGCCGTCCGGGCGGCAGGGGGCCAGGTGGCCTATTTGTGCGTCACATGAGATACTCACCATGCAGAACATATACGTGAATGCGTTCCATCCATCCATCCATCGGCACAACCAACATGGGTGCACTCACACATGACAGAGTCTCAACCGCACACGCACACACATCACACGAATACCGGCCCCTTGCGCATGGGCGTCGGATGCAGTCGCTTCATCACCCACCTGCAGCTGGCGGGATGCTGATGGGTGAGACACCGACCGCCCACACGCACATGCACAAAGAGCACGCAGAAAGGATTGACACGCGCAACCAAGTATATCCCGCCCACAAGCCCATCTGTACAGCCCGGCCCCACCCACTAGACACACAGGCTGCTATCTGTGCTGTGCCCCCCAGCCGATGTCTGTCTCACTGGTTGGCCACAGAGAAGTAGTCAGTGATGCGCTTCTGTGAGGGGACGGGCAGGCCCAGCCGCCGCACCTCCACACGACAGTCGAATGCCAGCCGGGGCAGCTCGACCATCTCAAAGCCATGGTCATGCAGCACGAGGTGAAAAGCTACCTGATGGTCATCCGCCAAGTCAGGACGGCACGTTGTGACCTCTTGCAGCATGCTCACTATGTCGCCCCCTGCAAGATGCCCCTCCACCGTGATGTCGACATCGATGCTGTCTAGGCGAGGGAAAACGCCAATCGCCTGCACACAGTTCCAAACTGTCTCGCCACAGTAGAAGTCGAAACTCTCTGTGTCGCCTTGCTCGTAGTGCAAGTGCGAGTGGACGATGATGCGGTGAACGCGCTCATCTATCGGCCTGTCCTTCTCTGTCTGGTCCACCCACATGCACATCTCCACCTCACCCACATAATCAACCACACAGAACGTATTGACCAGCGCCTCGAGCATCGGCAGCTGACTCAGCATTCTCTGCACGGACAGGTCAGCCAGGTGCTCGAAAAGCAGCTCTGCCCGCCTCACGCACGGCAAGAGGCGCGGCACGTCTGCCACCACGGCCTCGGGTATGTCTGTGGACGGGGAGGAAAGAAAGAGTATCAGCTCTTGCGCTCGACAAAAAACGAGCGACGCTAGTGTGCTGTAGAGTGCGGGGAAGGTCTCGCCTGCAGGCCAGTATGTACCGAAGCCGACATGAGTAGCGGCAGAGGCCAGCAGTTGGACGGTGGGGACGGACGCCCCGTTCGCCCACCACACCGGCTCCGTGGGCACGTTTTGCCACAGCAGTGGCAGCTCGAACATGATGTTGCTCCTGCTCCAGTCCTCGGTGCCGCTGGGCGCGAGGCACAGCCGGCGAAAGTCATCGACATCCTACACGCCGCACACAGACACACACAGACACAGACACACAGACAGACAGACAGACAGACACAGAGGGAGAGAGAGGACTGTGTCTTGATAAATGCGTGAGGGGTTGTCGCCTTGTGGATGAAGATCGTACCTTGATGTTTTGGGTCGACAGGTATCCGGGGGACAGGGCGATGTCGACCTCCTCCAGCCTGAGGCCCCGCTGAGCCAGCAGCTGTGTGCCTCCGTGGGTGAAGCACGACTGCTGACTGGTGAAGCGCAGGCGCCTGAGAGAGAAGAGAATAAGTGGATACACATACACGCGCGTGTTTCGGTTCTATCATGCTCCTCACTTGAGGGCGTGCAGGTGAGGCACGGAGTTGGTTGGCCGCAGAAGCTGCGCCAGATGGTCGGGATGGGCGCGGCTGCGACTGAAGTCCCAGCATCCGCTGTCGTCGTATGTCAGCGACCGAAGCGCCGAAGCGGATCTCCGCCAGTACATGCCGTAGCAACCCGAGGCAAACGACGACCGGCCCGTCAACGGCCCGTCGCGAATGCTCAGCGACACAAGCGACCTGAAACGGCGCACAACCAACAAACGTGTGCGGCATTGTATGAACGCGCCCGCGGTGCGTCGTGTCAGTCACCTCAGTGCCCATCCGTAGGTACGAGCAACCCGCACCCATTCGCCTCCCACACACACCTCCTCCAGCGCCGCAAACTGCATCCGCGACTCCTCCCGACGGCCGGATGGCGATGGCTGCCTGGACGGACAGCGCAGTCGTCCGGCCGGCTCATCCATCTCGAGGTAGGCCACAGTGTTGCGCATGCTCTCCACCAGACGCACCATGCTCTCCGTCACCGGGCAGAGCAGCACGGCGCGCTTGGTCTTGCTCAGTCGGGTGAGCCATACGCTGAGCTGCATGTCGGTCAGGTGGATGGCCTTGGCGGTCTGGACGTGGACGAAGAGGTGGGTGGAGGGGTCTGTTGCGATGGTCGCGAATGCCTTGCGTATGACCGAGAGGGTGCCGATGATGTACTGCGTCCCTAGCAAAGGGCCGACGATGGTAGAGAGAGTGTCGGGCGGGATTGTCCACAGGGGAAGCGAACATCCAGAGGACTGCAGAAGCAACGAGCCACCACACGCAGGCGGCCCCATGTGTTTGGTTGAACTTGTGTGTGGATATCGATGCAGATAGGTGGTCTGAGGGTGTCGGCGCACCTGCTGTCCATGGTTCGGTGTGTCCATGTCATCGCTATCCATCACTAGCCCATCATCATCATCGTCAACCAACATCCCATCGACATCCTCCTGCTGAGGCAAACACGACAAAGCGCAGCCTGGGTCGCGGTTTCTCTTTGTTGTTTGCCTCCCGCCCTCTCTCTTACCTGCTCTTGACGCGAGCAGTGTCGTTTCGCCATCAGAAGACCTCCTCGAACCGCCGACCCGCTGATGCCCACTTATCCATCCCGCAGCCAGATCCTCTCCATCCTCGCCACACATGCAGTGGCCAGATCCCTCCTAACGGTCTTGCAGCCCATCGTCTGCCGTCTTTTGCCCCTTTCCTTCCTTTCGCGATCCTCTTTGAGCTCGCGGAGAAAAAAAGGAAGCAAAACCTCGCGATGGTGATTTGATGGCGACTGAGCGAGAGGTGAGGGGGGAGGGTACAGAAATCATGGGAAATGATGAATTCTGTCACTTGCAGCGCTAGGCTATGCGGCCGCTGTGTGCTCAGGAGGCGGTCAGGAGGTCTTCATCAGCGTTGGTTGGCTGCCCGTGCAGCACTTGAGGGCAGACGTAGGCATCTGCGGCTGAGGGCCTCACTCACAGGTGCACAGACACACATGAAACAGCACCGGCCCGGGGTGACCATTCAATGCGGATTGTGTTGTTTGTGGTCATGCAGACGAGGTCATTGAGCCGCAGGCTGCAGCTATGCAGCAAGATGGCAACGACGGGCCGACCCGTCCGGTACGTTACCATGAACCGCCTGATGCCGCGTACACTGGCTGGATGGCGTGAGTGTACGTGTGTGTGTGTATGTCTTTGTGGACAGGAAGCTGATCGCGATGAGGGCCTCCGTCAGTTTCGACATGAGATAGATCGCATCAAGACGCTCATCCATACACTTGAATCACAAGTGAGTGGGGCGGGTGGTATGTGTGTTGGTGTCTTCCGTATGTCATGTATCCATCCTTGTGTTGCTTCAGGTAGCTGGCAATGACGCCTCACTGACGGTCGGCGACCTGTCTGTGGCGGTGGGCCACACGAGCCGTGGCGGCGACTGCCTCAAGGAGGCGGCCGACTGTCTGAGCAACATACACAACACCACTCACGCACAGGGCGGAGTGGCAGAGGTATGCATTGCAACTGCGGTGTGTCATGTGCGTGTGCTGCCTGCGCAACAGGGCGACTGCAGTGGTCGTGCGGATGATCTGACCGTGGAAAGGATTCAGAAGGCATCCCATGGATCATCCATATCGGTGTGTGTGTTGACAACAGCCAGTCAGGCAAACCACCATCTGCCCTCTAATCCTCTCTTTGTGTGTGCAGGTAGCTGGTGTGTCGGATAGCAAGCGAGCGCGTGTGGAGGACCGACCGGGTCAGCATGCTACCTTTGCTGCTGCTGGTGCTAGTGGTGGAGGTGGTACGTATTGACGATTGACACAGAAAGTGTGTGCATCAAACTCTCATGCATCGATTCACCCAACGCCGTCCGTCTGTCTGTCTCGCTGTTGTGTTTGCAGTTGATGTGTCGAGCAGCCCCCAGCAAGACGACCAGGGACACGACCAACATCAGCAACACGCGAACGTCAGCCTCGACACACATAAAGCCCCTTAAGATACACACTCGCTACTCGTGCGTGTGTGTGTGTCAGGTTGTCGGTGGGCCGTGTCTGTGTGGCCTGGAGGGCCCGCTGCTGTGTGACATGGCCTCGTGGCTGACCACCAGGGAGGCCACCGTCCTCTGTCTCCTCAACAAGGGCATCAATAGCATAGCCGACTACCACTCGGACAGCCAACGCCCGAGCAGCGCCCAAGACGGCAGCAGCAAGGCCACGCCCTTCGGCATCTACCGCAACCTGACCATCGCTGAGAAGGAGGCCAAGGCGTGGAACAACCTCGACCTGGACACAGAGACACGTCTGAGGGGCAAACTGGTGAGCGAGACCCACACCGTGCCGCTCACATCCGCCCACGACATCCATGCGTGTATGTGGATCTGTCTGTCTGTCTGGTTCAGGCCAACGTCACGACAGCCCACATCCCGTCATCTGCAGGACCGTACGAGGACCACAACTCGAGCCGTCGTTCCTTCGTAGCGACATGTCTGGAGGCCGCCAAGACATCCCTCACACACCTCTACATCAACGGCGATGGCGGGAACTTCAACTTCCGTGCGGCGTGGTGTGCGCCCCCTCCGGTGGCCTTCACGGCACTCACCGACCTGCACGTGGAATGCGACACGTGGATCATATACTTCAGGTGAGTCAGGCTGACCATGCACACACATTCATCTGTGTGTTGTTGTTTTCTGCAGTGAAGCCACATGGACCACCTTCCCTGCCCTGGAAGACTGCCGAGGTCTCCGCGTCCCTCGTAGGGCTCTCAAGGGCCTCACCCACATCGCGAGCTCCTCCCCTCAGCTCATGACACTCGCCGTCAACATCGTGTGCGATCACGACAGCCCCGACTTCATCGCTGCCCTGGGCAAGTCCAAGCGGCTCACCACCATCCGCGGGGTGCGCGTCAGCGAGCGTGCGTTGAGGAATGGTCATCTAGCTGAGCTGCAGAGATCTCTGGAGAACTTCTGGAGCAAACCGGAGATGCAAGGTGAGATGAGATGACGGACAAAGGGGATAGGAGAGACCTGACTCGATGCATGAATTGACGCCCTGTCTTTCGATCATCCATCAATCAGGAGTCAAGAAGACGATCGAGTTCGTGTACGACTGCCCCATCAACCACAACTTCGGCGACCTGACCCGCCCCCTGCCCGACTTCCTCGCGTGGGCCCGACGAGTCGGCGCCACGGTCGAGTGGCAGCTGAACTACGGCAAGTGCATGAGAGTCGACTGCAGCAAGGAGGCGTCGACTGTCTTCCCTGCTGTGCGTGGCCCTGTAGCTGACGTGGTCAACCAAGTCGCCAAACAAGCTGAGGAGGTAAGTGGGACAACGAATGACAGACAAGAATCAAATCGCATGGTTCGTATGTATGGCTGCCTTCGTCTCAGGTGTGGCTCTTCTGTGGCGGCACGCCTCTGGACGAGTCGTGGAAGGACGTGCTCAAGTTTCCCAACGTGACGCAGCTGTGGATCGGCCGTTCGCAGGAGGGCCGTCAGAGCGTGCAGAGCGCGGAGATCGTGTCGGACAGCATTCCCCCATTCCTGACCGAAGTCGACGAGGACGGCAACAACGTCTGTTTTCCCGCAGTCGAGCGCCTCGAGTCCAACCTGGCGAATCTGTCCTACCGAGCCCACCCCCCTGCGGGCGCCTGGCGCTTTCCTGCCGGCCCCAACAAGCTTAGCACACTTCTAGGCAGCCTGCGCCACGTCAGATCAGTCCAGTTCAGAACCTCTGACCTCTCTGTCTTGTCTGAGTGCCTGCCACTGCTTCCCACTGAGCGCATCGATGAGGTCAGCGTCGTTTTAGGCCATCACGTGCGTGCGTTGCCTCATGCATGCCAACCACTCGCACGCCCTGCCGTGACATCGCTGTCGTTTGGCGATGATGAAGATCTGATTGATCTCAACAAAGATCAGGCCTTGTCGGTGATGAGTGTCGTGACCCACGTGCGGCCATCCAAAGCGCATCTGAGACTGCAGCTCGATCCCAGTGAGTTTGAGCTAGGCGAGGAGGGGGCGTCAGATGAGGAGCAGATAGCCCATGCAGAGAAGGAGGTGCGTGCGTTGGCGTGTGAGTGCTATGAGCGGGTAATGGCTTCATACTCACTCGACAGCCTCACTATCCAGTGTGACATGATTGAGGTAGTAGGGTGGGCGGAGAGTATCCTCGGGTTTTGTACATTCACGCTGGATCTGGTAGCTAAGGGCCAATAGGGAGGCGACAAGTGGGAGAGGTGGGTAGTGCTGCGCGTGCTTGTGGTGTACGGTCAGACTTGACGCGTGTCGTTTTCATCGTCATGCCCGTGCGTATGGACACGCTCAAACGAGGGCCTCAGGACGGCCTGCATGTGTAGATGTCAATATTGAGTGCCTGCGTGTGGGTGCTCATGTCCACATGTACATGAAGTCGATGGACAACGCACAGCCCCTCTACACACCTGCGTGGACTCACTGCATAATCATTCGAGTCGATCTGTGTACGTTTTGCCGACGGTTGCTTGATTAAAGAAAGCAGGGCTGTCGTGTATGAGGCGGCAGTCATTTCAAATCGATGCATACGGCCGAATCCATGGGTTCGACCCTCAAATGATTGCGAGCTACAGTTCGCGAAAGGGAGAACTCCTCAAACTCAGCTCTTAATGCAGCCGAATGTCGTCTGCCGTTTCCTGCTGGGACCTGCCCTCTCTATAGAGGTCCAGATCTGCAGATAGATCTCCAGCTTCGGGTGCGTTGAGCCACGCACGAGGACAGCGGGTCGTTGAGCTCCAGGTAGACCTGCATCTGCGGCTCCTGCGTACACATCATCTTCCCGCGCATCTTGTCGTTGAATGGTCTGGCATAGGTAGTAGAACATCCGACAAGATGAACCGCGTTTCGACGTCTACCGGGCCCACTGGCATTCGCAAGTCTGACCCGATCGCTGACAAGGCCGGCATCGACAAGGGCATCGGCGAGCGGGCTCTCGAGGAGGGCAGCGGGAGCCCGTCCAAGGGCGGCGGAGGGGTGAAATTCGGCAGCCCGGTGTGGTTGCAGCGAATGCGGCTGGCCATCGACCTTCTGGAGGCGTGTGGAGCTCACAAGGTGCCTGGAGGGCCGAATGGGATGGATCCATGGATGCAAGGATGGGTATGGCGTGGTGTGGTGTGGTGTGGTTGGTGTCAGGTTGTTGATTTGGGCTGTGGAGAGGGGAAGCTTCTTGGCCGTATCGGCCTTTACAACGCCCTCGACACCGATACTGTAGAAGTGGTGAGGTCAACCGACCAGACCAGACCATACCAGATCCATGCATCCGCGCCCTTCCTTCCTTACTGACGTCAGCTGCCGTGCTGTGGTATGTGGTGGTTTGTGGCAGGTTGGCGTCGATATCGACGAGGATGCCCTGTTCGACAGCGACAGAGTGAGGGAGTGAAGATGGCATAGACGCCACGCACATGCAGAGAAGGAGGCGTGGATGTGAGTTGGATATCGTTGGCTGCATTCATCGTGGGGTGTGGGGTGCGTGCGTGTCTGCCAGTGGTGTGTGACCCCCTTCGGTCGGCACTTGTGTGCGGCGTGGCGGCGGGACTTCCAACTCAAGCTGCGGCTGCTCACAGGTGAGAATGATACGAGAGAGAGGGCTGCTGGGTGGCTGAGTGAGTGGGGTGGTGGGTGGATGCCTGTGCTGTCTTCGGATGGATGGATGCAGGGGATATTCTGCGTGTGCCGATGGTGAGCCCCAGCATAGACACCCCGAACCATACCAACAACACATTCATCGTGTTCGTCACAGGAGTACAAGGGCTGGCCCGACGCAGTGACGCTCATCGAAGTGTACGCACCCACACCCACACCCACATGCACGGCACACAAATCCCTCTCTCCATATCTCATGTGTGTGACGCTACTCGCCAGGATTGAGCACTTGCAGCCTGCTGACCTGCCGGCCCTCGCGAAGAGCGTCTTTGGCGACCTCTGCCCGGCCATGTGTCTCGTCACCACACCTAACAAGGACTTCAATCCCCTCTTCTCCGACACACCAACGTAATGGCAAACATCACACACACACACACAGTGGGGAACGAACAAATGGTGCAATTGCGTGTCCATATGTGTGTCAATGTGTGTGTGTCCATGTGTGTTGTCTGCAGTTTCATTCGCGACTCTGATCACAAGTTCGAGTGGACGCGCCAGGAGTTCCAGGTGACAAGACGCACAGACACACACGCCAGCGCAAGAAAATTGCCCTTCGCCAATGCTGGTCTGTGTGTGTCTGTGTGCGCCGTGTGTGACGAAAGGAGTGGTGCCTGTCCGTCTGCAAGAGCTACCCCAAGTATGACGTCTTCTTTGTCGGCGTCGGACAACCACCGGCACACCCGACGCCGCCCTCTATCCTGCCTCCCTCCAACACCAACACACCACCCTTCATCTACACCAGCCCGACCACGCTCAGCGAGGCGCGACACGGCAAGCCGTTCGGCATCGTCAGGCTGCTGTCGCCCGACAGCCACACTGGCGCCTCAGCCACAGCCGCACCAACGACAAGAGTGCTGGACGTGCCGTACACGAGCGAGTGTGCGCCAGATGACGCCGCGTGGGCGATGTTCCAGGCGTATGGGTGCTGCTCGCAGTGTGCCGTGTTTCGGAGGAAGGATGGCGGTGCTACAGCCACTGGTGCAGGGGGCGAGGGCGGGGAATGGAAGCACTTTGACTCCTTCTGGTGGCCGAGCGTGAGGGACGAGGGCTACGACCGAACAGTGAGCGAGCCACCCACAGGCAGAGAGAGAGAGAGAGAGAAGGGAGCCATCCATTCACGCACCCTTATCACGAGCGTCACTGTCCGCTTCTCTGTGTCCTCGTTCGCCAGTCTCGGATTGTCAGTCTTGTCCAGTACATTGCAGAGTAACCACCATACCAACACACACACACACACACACACTGTGGCTCGGTGGTGTCCGGTGTGTGTCAGGCCCCCTAGCAAGCTGGTCGAGTGGAGCCCCTTTTTGCCAACCGAAGAGGAGCTCGAGGCCGAGTCTATCCCCGACCAGACCCTCGACCTCATCAAGGTGTGGGGGGAAGACACGGAGAGCGCCAAAGAAGTCAGTGAGTGAGAGACTGGGCAGACACGCAGCTCGGATAAATCGATGCCTGTCTGCCTGCCTGCCTGTGGGGCCTTGTGTGTGTGTGTGTGTGTGTGTGTAGCTCCGTCGCCTGTGTCTGAACGACCAGCAGACGCTCTTCCAAGTCCTCGCCGACGACCACCACTTCCGCTTCGCCGACCCGTCACAGCCGTCGATGGTGACCGTCTCCTTCACCCCGCCTCCATCCTACCACTCTGACGCCGACCAGGACGACACCACCGACCAGGACATCGCCATCGATGGGGAGGACGGCAAGCAGGAGAGCGGTGGATGGAGGCCAGGTGCATGGAGGCCACCGTGGGGCGACTGGAATGGATGGGGAGACGACGAGAAGCAGCAGCGGCAGCAGCAGCAGCGGCATCAGCAGGGGAGCGCGGCGGTGGACTTGGATGAGGAAGAGGACGAGGAAGCCTGGTGACAGCGGTTGTCTGCCTAGCTGGTTGCTGCATGCATCTGACGTGCTGTGGATGGATGGATGGATTCCTGCACATATATCTGCCTGTCATTCGTTTACTGTGGACCGAAAGACCACATCATGGCATTGCCCATAAGACATACTTCACATGAGTGAGTGAGGGCCTGTCTGACGTGCGTGCGTGCGTTGGAAGGCAGACAGACAGTGGCAGTTGGGGGTCATTGATCACCGGGTGTGGCCTGTGTGCATGTATATGTGTGTGGTGCCGACGATGGGCGCACACGTGTTGACGGTGCATGTATATACATACATACGAGTCGACGTGTCGATCGTGTGATTGGCCTCAAACGTGTGAATGTCTTTTGACGCACACGTCTACACGCACCCCATGCAAACGAACCAAACAAAGCGATGTGCATACGTGAAGAGAGGCACGGTCGGCAGGGGGGGGGGGGGGGGGGGGG